ACACAACCTCACATCTTTTAACCATATTACTCAGTATCTATGGAAATGGAATAGATCCACAAGAAATGGAGAGCTGAAACTGAAAATGAACTTCTCAACGATAGCGGACAAAGAAGTTCGATGAATATGCATAACATTTTCCTAGTTTCTTTCTCCCATGTTCATAAAAGATGCGGAGGACTGATGGGGTGTCAAGCCATACAAATAAATTAACCTACTTCAAACTACATAGTATAGAGAAATAAGGTCGTCTCCTCAGGGAACGATGGATTATTTCCTTTAAATTAATGGAAAGATGGATTTTTGGATTGTTGTTCTAAATGTATGATAATAAAATTCAAATAACAAAAAACTAAATAAATGAAAAGAAATCAAAGTAACAAACTTCTGACTCAAGGGACGGATAACTGAATTATTTCATTAATCACAGGCTACTAAAACTACTCTTGCAATTTAAGCATTCAACCAAAGATAGGATAGCCGTAATAAATCAATTAATCTCCCTAAATTAACTAACCAAACCTAGCACTCAATTAGTCCTTATCATAATTCGGCTGGGCACGATAGTGTTCCATACCAAATAATGACAGCATAAATACCAAAAAAATATAGTTGAATCAAAATCTAAACAATTGAGATAACTGCAACTAGTCAGACTTTGCCTCATTAATTTCACATTTAAACTAACATGCATATTCAATGTCTCATCAATACACATGCTTTGTCTAATTGCTACTCAGTACCGCCGGTTCGTATCTATTACGTGATATTCAACTAGCAGATAGCACTAAAAACTAAATAGCAAATCAAGTTGTCAATTTGAATGATATCTACTTTCATAACTCAATACAAGAATAATAAATACTTAAATCATAGGCAAAAACAATAAATTAAGAACAAAACCTCATAATGAAATAATTTAATAAATTCCCTGAATTAGTAATAATAGGTTTAGCTACTCATGGATGAAAGTATGACGACTTTATTCTCCATAGAAAACGAAGTCTAGAAATTTGAGAAAAACAAAATGGCGGAGGCTCTAGCTTTGCCTCACGTACGCCTGCCAAAACCGTGGCCAAAATCAAGAAGAAAAGGCCCGCCAAAATAAAACCCACGGCTGTCTTATAAAGAAATTAGGTCAGCCCCACTAAACAAGAAGTTAGGCAAAAATTGCAGCATTAGTTCTTTCACTTTTCAACTTTTTCATTTTTACCCTAAAATTTCTTTCATTTTGCAATGAGATGTCTAATCGTTCAAAATAGTCTAAAACAGCTTTAATCTTTTATTTCTAGCTCATAACATGAAATAATAAAAAAAATGAATTAAATCCATTCGAGTCCATAAACTAATAAAAATATCAATAATTAAAACACAATTTATGTATTTTATCTAGGACTTTAAGGATGATACATTTAACTGGCAAACTCTAGTTCATGTTATTGTTTTTTAGATCTTTTATGAACATACGTGATGGCTAAGATTTGTTTTTGGGTACTTGACACAACGTTTGAGTAATATTATGAAAATTTGGCACTATAAAACAAAAATCCTTTATATTCTCCTTCCTTGGCTTCTATATACTCTCGCTTAAAAAATCCTACATAATCTCCTTCCTTGGCTTCTACATCCTTTCGCTGATTAAATTACAACCTAGTAGATTCCTTGGCTTCTATATCATTCCTCTTACTTATATCGAAGCAGTGCCTTTTTTCTTTGGACAAATATCCCTATGGCTCCCGCACCTGATCAGGCGAGAAGAATATTAAGGGCTGTGATGACAGCTTCCCTGGCGATTTCCACCGGCACGTTGATGATTGGCGGGGTCATTTTGGCCCGCCAGGCCAGGGTGCATTGCATTCCACTACAGGGAACGAAAGTCGGTTGTCCCCTTTCTAGACACAGTTGTACTGACATTCCTGTTGTCTAACCTCTTCATGTTAGCTATAATATTTCATTTGTTAATGTTTACTGTAAAAATTTAAAATTACTGCCTCTTAGGCTACACTCTTAAGGTAAGAATAACTGAAGGAAATAGAAATTTTAACTTTTATTTCCAGTACAGTGCCACCATCTCACTTTATTGACCAATTCATCACAATCATATAATTTGATTAAGCAACAACCGTCTGAGCAACAATTGTAAGGGAAAATTCATGTTTTTCAGTTGTTGTCTTTAAGAAATTGATCACATGAAAAAAAAACGGAAATGTTTAATAACACATAAGGGAAGCAATGGTGATTCGTTAGAAAGAGTAGAGGTGCCAATTCGAGCAGTCTCATATGGAAACAGTGATATATGTTATCTATATAACATACATGGTATGTGATTATGTTTTATGCACATAATCCTAACTCTAGCAAGATAATGTGTTCTTTCATAATGATTAGTAAGTATATACAAAACAAAACGTTCGCCAATTCAAAAATAGTTTACGCTCGATTATAACTATTAAACAAAAATATATCAGGCAAATCAATATGAAAGAAGTTAACTTAGAAAATAGTGGTCTATCACAAATAAAAAAGTGACATTAAGTTCCTATTATTATGATATAAAAGTGTTGCATCCCTTATTACATGTTGTCTGTTCATAATGCACCCTCCGTCCCAAAATTATGACAATTTTAGTTCAATAATATGACAAGTTTTTTATATGACAATAGATATGTTTTTTTGTCTCTAATACATAAAGTGATAACATCAAGTCTTCAACTGTGTAAATTCACAAATTTTTCTCATTTAACTTCTCGCTTGCACCGAAAAAAAAAGAAAAACAATTTACGTGCAAATTATGTGCAAGTACGCATAATCTATATATATTAAATTAGAATTTTTAATCGATACATGCCGTTCAATGAGTTAGTTTAGGACAATTGTGACACGTGTCATCTCTACAACTTTCCTTTATTAAACTGTAGAAAAATATTTAGTTAAATTAAAATTTTTATTACTTTAGTGTTAGAAATAATTACCCTATTCTATCATTGCATAATTTAATTTACAAGAACCATAAATCTATCTAAACAAAATCATCACAATAATTAATCTATATAAGGAATTTATTTACACAATCAACAAATTTCAAATCTAATTAAAACAATACCAAAAACACAACAAGATGAATTAATCATATTCTTATCAGCAAATTAAATAAGGAATATATTTACAGAATAACTAATTATTAATAATTAGATAATTAGTAATCGTATTGTGAATATAATTGTAAATATCTAAGTATTTTATGCACATGATATGTTGAGAGAACTTCTATTAGATTGGGAGTAATTTTTTTTAGAATACCATATTTAGATTAAAATACTCAAATAGTTTTTTACATTTGCTAAAAAAACTCAATTTGGTCATTTACATTTTCAGTGATTTGGTCCATTATATTTGTCTTTTACAGTAATTTAGTCATTTTTACTTTTTTTGACACTTTACATTTGGTGGCTATAAGTTTGACCATATCTTGGTCAAGTCAACATGGATATCTTCACTAATATCTAATTTTCAAAAATATAAAAAATCCATTAAAGTTATATTAATCATATAAATTAATTTATAATTAAAAATATAAAAATTCGAAAAAGAAAAAAAAATCCAAAATTTTTTGGGCCCGACATCCAGGTTCTTATCATTGACCTTATCTTTTAACTTTTTTATCCGTATCCAGGAGGGGGTTTGGAAATAGGAAAGTATTTGACAGGAGAAAATGGAAAAAAAGAATAAGGTCAATAATAAGATCTTGGATATGGGGCCTTGGGGTTAATAAAAATCTGAGTTAAAAAAATAAATAGTGAATAACAAATTATAATATAAATTATCATTGATTAATAATTTGAAAATGACATAAAATATTTTAAAACCCGTGCAATGCACGGGAACAGTACTAGTTTTATAAACCAAAGTGCAATTACATATAAACTTGTGTGCAAAACTAAAGAAATTAATTAAGAATTTATGAGAATGTTTACTATATCAAAATTTAAATTTTTTAAAATAATTTTTTATTTATTTGGTAAGTTGACATGTGCTATTTAGTAAGCTTATCGAAATTTATGATATTATTATTAATTAAATGTGGACGGGACTATATCCTTAGTATTCATAACAGGACCTAGAGTTTTTTCCAAAAATGAAATTCATTCTTTAAACTTTATCTTATGATCATTGTACAGTTTTTAAATAATTTTATTTCACCCGAATATGACTATCTTATAGTTTTAGGATTAGTCATTAAATGACTTCCTTGGAGTTATGAAATAAGTCTATCATCATGTTGGGGGTAATTTTTTTAATATATATACTACATCCGGTTCTTAATATAAGGCATTTTGATTTTATCTAGGTTTCACCTAGTACGTATTTTTAATTGACAAAAAAACTTTTAAAATATATTTTCTCGTTCGTTATGTTCTCTTAATTATTATGAAATTTTTTAAGATTTTTATTCCAAGTAAAATTACATACAAGATCAAACTTAGGATAAATCAAAATGTCTTATATTAAGGATCGGAGGAAGTATTATTTTTTAATATGTATATATTATTACTTAGTATTGTTTTTTTTGGTGAGTAGTGTGTGTCTCAATCTATTCAAGAATGCTTGCCATTTAATGCACTTAACCATAATTTTGAGTGAGATTTAAGCTTTTGATAACAGAGAAATGATTCAGTACAGATGTTGTACTATGTAGGATTATGCAGCCAAACACAATAATAGAGTAAAGTAGTAATTTTGGAGGGGATGGAGATAATTTCTACGAGGTTAAACCACCAAAATAAGGGGTGTTAGTACTTGTTGCTAAAAACCAAAATAATTTTTCTTGATAACAACCTTTTCATCATGTTTTTAATTTTTTTCCGCAAAATCTTCTCTATATCATTTCGGATAACTAATCTCTTTAAAAAATTGAAATAACATATTTTGGGCTTGATATTGGTTAAAAAGAATTTAAAATATAGGTCTATGAATTGCACTTAATTAGGGTGAATTCTTCCCATATTAAGAACATCATCTAATATTGCTTTATTTGTTGCTTTTTTTTTAATATTTATTCATCAATGATTTCTTTTTTTAAAAAAAAACATCAAAACATTATTCCCTTGGACCGATATGATGAGTTGTGAAATGTGAAATACCTCTAAATATGATAACGAAAGAAGTGGACGGAATCTGTCATCTTCTTCTCCCTTCCCTTTCCACAGTCCACACACAGTCACACAGTGGGTCCTGGATTGCTAAGTCTAAAACAAAAGCTTAACAAAGGAAGAGCAGTGGTTTTGGTTGTACCATTTTCTTGAAATCTACTGGAAATGGAGAAAGCTCTGACAAAAGTTGGGAGCTTGAAAGCTAGTACATTCTGGGTATCCAAGAAAGCCAAGGAAGAGATCTCCAATATTTCTCAGGACCTCTCGGTATATCCCGTTTCTTCTTCCCTTTTCCATTTCTTAGGCTGTTCTATGTTTTTTTTTCCCCCCTTTTTGTCTGCAATTGTGATCTGTATTCTGTTTGCTGAATGGAAATTGGCCCCCTATCCCTTGCGATTCAAAGATCTGCATGATTAAACATTAGGGAATTGAGAATAATTTTAGAATATGCCGGGGAGGATTTATGGGACACTGTTTTTGTTAAAATTTGTTATTAGTATGAGGAGAGCATTGAATGGCTTATTGTTTCCATGTAGACTTAGATTTTGTGAATATAAGGTAATTATGAAGTTGAAAATTCATGTTCAGCCGCCTTTTTCGATGGTTTTGCATTTAAAATGTGGATTGTTGAAGTATTTTTTTACCTTTGATATTTTGGAATTTGTCAAAGTTTTCTTAGGTATTGTATCTCTTTTTACCTTGTAGCAAAATCTTAAGTGATTGTAGATAGGATGGATTCTGAGTTCTTCATTGGTAAAGCTTAGCAACAAAATGTAGGAAACTACTTTTTTGCAGCTTGCATGATCTCTCTTTAATGCATCTGGCTTCTTACGGAACTTGATCAGATATGTATGAATTTCACGTCATTGGCATGACAATCGATGCTCAAATAGATTCAAGTCCAACAGGAATGTGCTTGTCAGTTTGAAAGAGTTTTCTAGTCAACTTTGTGATTTCAATTTCTATCTGTCAATGCATCTGCAAGTTATATAATCTGCAGAGCTTTGTTATCATCATGTGGTGTACTGCATTGTGTATTATGAATATCTTGATTAAACTGGTCTAGCAAGAATGTTTATTGAATTATTGGTCATCTGCTGACTATGAATCATGGCTTCTCCCAACTGTACGGAAGAATTGTTCAGCGTGTCATTCTAGCTTAGCTTTCAATCAAACTTGAATATTGCCCTTTTTGCTTGGCCTTTTATCTTTCAGATGAGGCAAACAGTCCAGACGAAGCAAACTTGAAGTGTTTGTTGGTGACCTTATTCACCATCCATTCTTTCATTTTGGACTTATATTGCCTGTGTGCTAAAATACAAGAGTGAATATATTATAATTCGCTTCTCAAATGTGGATGCATAGCTTATATTTATTGCAATTACTAACTCTGCATTTATTGTTGCATTAAGCCTGCTACTCGTTGGCACAACTCTTCCAGACTTAGAGAATTCTCCTATGAATTTTTTAGTATGGAAAATTTTGTTTCTACTACTTTCTCTCAACTTTTGTTTTATTTCCTTTTATTCTTTTCAAATATTTGAGTTTCTTCTTTTTCTTTAGCATACGTGCCCAACTCATACTCTTTAATTGACCTTGGATTATTCTTTCAGACTTTCTCTAACACTGTTGAAGAGAAGGCAAAATGGATTTTCAACAAGCTAAAAGGTAATGAAGCCAACCTTCGATGCAGTGTAGATCCACCTATTCATTTTTCGCACTTTATGTTCCGGTAAAAGCTTCAAGATGACAGTATGTGATATTGGGTAAATCCTACCATTAAATTCTGCAATTTTAAAATGTTCAGATATAAAAAACTACAACATTATGGTTTCACTATCGATTGGAACAGAAGCACTCAAGGTTGTCACAACTAGCTTGTCTTTGATGATTATTGGCACCTGCTATTTGTCTGCTGTTGTAACCTCGATATTCTGAAACAAAGTCGTGTATCACACCCTTCTAATTATCTACCATTCTGCTCAGGCAAGCCACTGAAATCCTTGCCAGACCTCCTGCGAGAGTTCAACCTCCCTCCTGGCCTCTTTCCACAGAACATTACCTGTTATGAATTTGATGAATTAAAGGGCAAGCTCATTGTTTACTTACCATCTGCCTCTGAAGTTTGCTTCAAGGACTCTTCTGTCATGAGATATGCTACCCGCATCAAAGCAACTTTATCAAGAGGAAAACTCAGCGGAATTGAAGGAATGAAGACTAAAGTCTTGGTATGGGTCAAAGTTACCTGTATCAGTGTTGAGGGTTACAAGTCCGACAAGGTGTGGTTCACTGCAGGGGTAAAGAAATCCAGGCCTAAAGATGCATATGAATTTCCCCGTGAGGCCATCAAAGTAGAAGAATTTTGAACATGGAAAGAGATTAAAATTCTTTGCTATATATGTGTTAATAATGCTTTTAGATGCATGACCGTATTCATTCATGTATTCTTTATTCTTTATTGGAGTTGCATTTCATTTGGTTGCTAAGTCCGAAGAACTTTCCTCTGAATTATAGGAAATTTACTTGTGATAAGATGTTGCCATAATAACAACTAGATGCTTGGCCCGGACAGATGCCCGGGCGCCCCCTCTCAATTACTATTTTATTAAAATTTAATTGAATTACTATTTTTTTGAGGAATTAATTTGGTGTATATATCATTTATGCTATGGTTTGGGGCTTAAAAAAATATACCTATAAATCTGAGGTTATAAGGGAATAATAAATAATTAGTTTATAAGGCATTATTCTTAATTGTTGAATTTAGGTATTTTTATTTTTTGTTTATATTAAGTCTGCAAAACTATACGATTGGACATTTGAATTTGAATTAATATATCCATTCGTTTGAAATGTAACTGATCCTTATTTGTAGTAAAACATGTGTTTTTTTTTAAAAAAAAATTATATAGCTTCTAATTAAAAGAAACTTACACGTGACAAAAAAAACTTGAAATATGGTGCATTGGAGCCAAAACAGATGCATACGTAGTTGCCACATAAGTTTCATGTCTTCTGTTTTAATAGGATATATATATATATATATATATATATATATATATATAAAAGGGATAAAAGGGATTATGAATAGCTGATATGTCATAATAGGCTCATAAGAAAAGTCCGAAAATAACTGAGTTGGCGTTTTAGTCGCTTTGATGAGATCTATCCATTCCCAGGGTTCTTTTTTTTTTTTTTTTCTGTCCGAAAAACTGAAAGACAAGGCCAACTTGGAAGTCTTAATCATCTCGTCGCTGGTGAATCCCTTTTAAGAAAAAGCCAATACTGTGTGTCCTCCACTTGATCATGTCACTTAACTATTGGGCTCCTTTCCGATAACATTATCTCTTCTGCCTGTAAAAAGGCAGTGTTGCTGGCCCTAGTGGCGATTACAATATTTGATAATGTGACAGTACTTTTCTTTTTTCACTAATGGATTCTGCAAAGACTATTTTTTTTTCTCTCACTACTTCTGTCATAATCTCTTCTGGACTACAGCTAAAACCAAAACTGAAAAACCAGTGTTTTCTTTCTTGGTCTATACTTTGATTGAATTAGTAATAGCAAGTTGTTCTCATACTTTGTTACTGCTTTGTTTCATTTGTAAAAGTGTTAACAAGGTTGGAGATGCCTTCTAGTTGTGATAACCTATATGCTATCTTAAATCAGCTCCATCCTGACTTGGTGAATGCAAGACACAGATTCAGGCCTGACTTCCATGCTGGTCAGAGGCCGTTGTTGGCACGGTTCTTCAGACGGTCATCTCAGAAGCCTAGTTCTGTCCTGGGGGACGAACAGTTGTACTTGTCCTTGCAATCGACCATCAAGGATATTGAGGATGACAACAGTTTTTTCACAACCTTTCTGAATTCCATTGGCAGGTGGACTGATGCAGTTGCTGTTATGCCCGGATTGGAATCATTTGCTGAAGAAATTGAAGCTGTTATTGGTGAGATCTCGTATGACCTTGCTTTACATACTGAAAACAAGTTCATTTTAATGAACCCTCTGAAAATGCTTCAAATTCTTGAGGAATCTAGAGAAAGAATTGAGTTTTTGAAGCTGCGAATGGGGACATTACCGACAGGTTTAGAAGGCTGCTCTGTAAGACATCATTTTTCGTCCAATGAATATTCTGTTTGGCAGGAATTTGAGAAATCTGTTCAACAGAATCTTAGATTTATAATCAAAGAAAAAGTTGATGATGAATGTCCTAATCTTGGTGAGAAATTGGCTGCTTTTATTCACAAGCTAAAGTTTTTGCAAACTTTTCTTGGGCATGCAGTCAGAATTATGGGTTTTTGGCATCGTGTTACGGAAAAATTCTTCAATCTTGCTGCTTATGTGGTTGTAAGGGCAGGATATCAGTCTTGTCATTGCTGGTTCACAAAAGACCCTATCATGGCGAGGGGGAGGATTACTGCTCTTCTGGATACACAACATGAGATTGATCTTACTAATCCTGAATTCTTAGAGTTCATCCTCCAATTCATGTCTGCAACTCGCAAAGCCGACCATAACCAACTGGTGCGTTCATTTCTTAATTACCTTCTGAAATGGGGAAATGATCTCGAGAAGCATTTGATGCCCCTGTTGACTTATGCGATCAGTACCCAAGAGGAGTCCCGGGATGATGGGCCCGGACTCATCTCTGAGATAAAAGCAATGCTGTTAGGGGTGGGATTTCTGCATGATCCGGTCCCAATAGGAGGTAGAATTGATCCTTCTCTATATTCTGAATTGCTCGTGAAGATTGGTTTTCTCAAGGCAGAAGCTTTCCTTATGGAGAAACTCAATTCACTGTCACCCATTCGCTATGCCAGAACAAAAATTGGTGAACTTCATGAGGTTCTGGATGCATTACCTGAGGAGAAGACCGAATATGAGAAACAGGCCATGGAACTAATCGATGAAGTGACAATGGAGGTGCCATTGATTCTTCATGCCTTTCAAGCCAATACAATCACAACTAATGGGGCCAAGATGTCTCTTCTCCTGTTGCTTGTCAGGATTGTGCTATTCAAGTCAGAGGCATTTTTGATGGAGTTACCAAATCTCGGTGCGGCTTCTGTATATAATGGGAAAGGCCTAATTGAAGCTCTTCTTTTAAATCTTAAACTCTTTTCATCTACTGTCGGAAGAAGTAGGAATGTGGAGAGTGATGAGCGTGTGGAAAATATCTTCTTTAGTATTGAAGCAGTTGCTCGGAGATTAACTGCATTTTCTTACGTATTTGTTGCCAATGAAATGACAGAAAATATGATGAAGAAAATGATTCTTTTTTTTACTGATTCCCTTGATAGAGTGAAACTTGTCAAGACAAAGGTGAAGGAGATCTGCCCAGAATTTCCAGTATCCCATTTCCCGAAGACCAATGAAATTGGCTTTCTTGATTTTCTATTGCAAAACCTGTCAGAGCTGATCACTTGCAACTCCAATTTGATCGCACCTGTCAAGCATCACATCATAGAGATTCAGTCACATCTGGAGTTTTCTAGACCAAACCTGAGTCATTTATTGAATTCAGATACTCCAGAGTTGAAATATCTGGGTGATCAAGTCATACATGTGGCATATAGATTGGACTATGTCATAGACATGATTGAGATTGGTGCTAATTTCCAACACTTCTGGTGGTTTTATGATCTCCTTGATGAAATGAGGGACATTAAGTTGCAGGCCAATAGAATTCATGAGAAGATTTCTGATGCCGAAGTTCACAATGTGCGGCTGATTTCAAGCCCTAGGATTTCACTGGCCAGTTCTCCAGTAGTTGGTGAAACAGTAAGTCTTAATGATGAGGAAGATGATCTTAAAAATCGTCTTTTGGGAGGGTCAATCAAAAGAGATATCGTCTCTATTGTTGGCATGGCTGGGATTGGCAAGACAACTCTCGCAAAGAAGTTGTACAATGATCCTAATGTTGCACATTACTTTCACCGCCGTGCATGGTGTTATGTTTCACAGGTGTATAGTAAAAGGGAATTGCTGCTCAAAATTATAAATGATGTCCAGGGCCTTACTGATGAGGAGATTCATCAAATGACAGATGCAGATCTTGAGTTAAAATTATATAGGCAATTGAAAAGAATCAGATATCTTATAGTTATGGATGATATGTGGGATACTGAGGCATTGAAGGACTTGGATAAGTCATTTCCTGATGATGGAGCTGGAAGTAGGATCTTGATAACAAGTAGAAAACATGATGTGGCATTGAAAGCTGAACCCGATAGCAAACCTCATGAGCTTCGTCCACTATCTGATGATGAGAGTTGGAGCTTGTTAAAGATGAAGTCGTTTCCTAAAGGATGTGGATGTCCAGAGGAACTGGTGGATATCGGAAAGGAAATTGCTGGTCAATGCAAGGGATTACCACTTGCAATTGTGGCAATTGCTGGTATCCTTGAAAGAGCTGAAAAGAAACAAGATCACTGGGAAAACATTGCAGCAAATTTAAACTCAAGGATTATTTCTGATCCAGAAACACGGTGCAAAGAAATCTTAGAAATGAGCTACATGTATTTACCTTGTCATTTAAAAGCATGTTTTCTGTATTTTGGATCATTTTCAGAGGACAAAGAAGTTCCTGTCACCAAATTGATTCGCTTATGGATAGCTGAGGGGTTTATTGAGAACAATGGGGCAAAGAGCTTAGAAGATGTATCAGAGGATTACTTGATGGATCTAATAGACAGAAGCCTAGTGATGATTTCCAAAAGAAAATCGAATGGAAGGGTCAAAGCATGTAGCATGCATGATCTATTTCGTGATTTGTGCCTTTCAAAAGCAAAACAGGATAACTTTCTGCAGCTGATAACTAGGTACCATGAACCGTTTGCTTCATTTGATCGCTCTGATTATGGTTTTGATTTTTATGATTTCTATCCTTCGGATTCTATAACATATGAGTGCCACCGGCTCTGCATTTGCTTGAAAAGAAAGCATTTTGTTTATTCAAAACCATCCGGCCCATACACCCGCTCTTTAATATTCTCTGCCCATAGCGATACGTACCCCAGACGCCCCTTCAATGTCTCATTCATATGTCAGAACTTCAAACTACTTAGGGTGCTAGATTTGGAATGCATCAACATGGGTATGTCCTTTCCTGCTGAAATCGAAGTCCTGATTCAACTCAGATATTTAGCAGTTAGTGGGGATATGGACTGTATTCCTGGATCAATAAACAAGCTAAGGAAGCTGGAAACCTTTATTTTGAAGGGACTGAGTGGGAAGGTTGTATTGCCTGATACAATATGGTCCATGACAAGGTTAAGGCACCTCCATGTAAATCATTATGCTGTTTTCAGCTTGCAAGATGGAAAATCTCGAAGCATCTCTCAGCTTAATAATTTGGTTAGCTTATCCTTGCTGTGTCTTAGTCATGGAAAAGATGCAGGGAAGATAATTAAACAGCTGCCAAATCTAAGTAAATTGAGTTGCATATTTCATGAATCATGGGACTCCTCTAAGAAGTGCAATCAGTTTCCAAGGTTAGAAAGTTTAACCAAGTTGGAGTCGCTCAAGATTATTTACTTCGGCGAGGCACTGAGTCCTGTTGCATTCAGTTTCCCTTCAAAGCTGAAGAAACTGACTCTCTCGAATTTCCGCTTGCCATGGGATCAAATTTGTGCTAT